GGGGGCTGCCCGCGCACGCAGGGTGTCCCCGGCATCGCGCACACCGGCAGCACAGGTGTCTCCGACACCCCGGCTGTCCCCTGCATCCCGCACACCAGCACCGCGGGTGTCTCCGGCACCCCAGGCTGTCAGCACACTGCGGATGTCCCCAGCATCCCGCACACTGGCACCATGGGTGTCCCCAGCATCCCGCACACTGGCACCATGGGTGTCCCCGGCACCCCAGGCTGTCCGTGCGCCCTGGGTGTCCCCAGCATCCCACACACCAGCGCTGCGGGTGTCCCTGGCATCCTGTACACTGGCACTGCAGGTGTCCCCGGACTGTCCGTGCACCCTGGGTGTCGCCCTGGCCGACAGGCACTGCTCGCCCTGCTCTCCATTGCAGAGGGATGTCCTAAGGCCAAGCCAGGGCTTTGCTGCTCCTCCAGGCTAGTGGCCTGGCAGTGCGTGTGGATTTGGGGATGTTTCTGAAGGATCCAGCTGTTGAACCAGTACTTTGCTCTAGTAAAAAGTACTTTTTGGGCATTGGTTTCTTTTTTAATCATGTAGCTTGGTTATTTTTCAGTTATCAAGATATGATCATGGTAAATGCTGGTATGCCTTTCCTGCATTTTCACCATTTGCTGTACACATACATCCATGCAGGATCATACAGCAATGTATTTATTAATCAGATTGTGAAAGACATGAGAGGAAAGAAGGTAAAAGAGGTTCATTTGGTCACAGCAGTGTATCTCATGGAGAGCACTGCCTCAGCTGTTGAACGCCCTGCACTTGGGCTGTGCTCCCAGGTGAGCTGAGCACTGGGGAGCGGGTTTTTCTTTCCATTTGGCTCATTTGAGGCTTCACCCTTTGCTCGTTGGCAGTGAGGAGTGAGGTGTGGAGCAGCTGTGGGAGTGCAGGAGACGGGCAAGGTGGTGTGAGCGTTGCTGAGGGTCCCACTGCAAAAGCCTCTCTGTGTGCTTGGTTCGTGTTTCATTCCACTGCTGTATGAGGCTTTCCTCCCTTGGGAAGTTATCCATACAATAGCAGGCAAATATTGAGATTGAAATCCAGGGATCCTTAACATCTGCAGATGGTTAAAGTCTTTCTTGGGCCACTTGAGTTTAGGGAGATAGATGTTGATGGCATTTTATCAGCTCCAATAGTAATAGAAAGTTGCTTTACCCAATGATTTTAAATTTCTGGCTGTAGGAAGCAAGTTACTTTTTTGTTATTAATTTTTTTTCTCCACTTGTGCATCCTCCTACTTTTCCAATCTGGGGGACAGCGGGATGCAGAAGAGAGACCTAGGAAAAAACTGCACAGTTTCTGCTAAGGTCAGTCTTCTGTTGTCTGGCTGCCTGGGTAGTGAGACTTTGGATTTCATGAGTCAGGCAGTCCCATTCAGTGCTGTGAACCTGCTAAGTCAGGCTCGACAAAAACAATTGGCTCTGAAGGCAGATAGTGGGGCTTGTTTACCCCTGTTCGTCCCACTAGGGTCAAACGAGCTGGGAAGGGTTTGTGGCTTTTCCTTCCTGTGTGCCCACACATGCTTTTTGGGGCCACCTGGGTGCTTTTCCTTTTGCCACCAAGGCAAGCAGTGACGTGCAGGGACAGTGCCCAGCAGCTCTCTGAGGGTTCATTGCGTGTCTTGGAGACCTCATGGTCCTGCTCTTCAAGGTGAGGCCTGGGATATGATGAAGGGTGAAGAAACTGCATATGTTGACAGTTGCAGCAGAAGCTGAATGCCCTGTGCCCTTGCTGTGATTGTGCCCTTCAAACACTAATGGCTTAGAAGAAACATCTGCAGAATGGCAGTTCTCAATACCAGCGGGCAAACCTTGTTATCAGGGCACCGTTGTGCCCTGCGGTCAGCGTGACCATCCGATATGTTCTTCATGCTTGGGAATAGGGAGGGAGGGTGGTTGGAGTTTGCTGTAGCTGGATGTATCCCTCAATGGTTGAGAGCTCTGGGTGACCCAATTGAGGTGTCAGGATGCTGGGTCTGCTGTGGCTTGCTGGCTTTATTCGCAAGGTTTGCGTGGACACCCTGGCCCTGCAGCCCAGCAGCCTTGCTGAGCAGGTAGTAGGTATTTGCCCTGGGTGCAAAACTGAAAAAGGCCTCCTGACTGTGCAGACACATGAGCCCTTTCCAGAACTCACTGCCTGAAGCCCCTGCTGGGACTCTGTTATTTCCTTTCTGGCAGGAGCAGTTGCAAAGCCCAATTGCTGTTGTGCTGGCCGAGGTCTTGGTGGTTGCCCTGAGCCGTGGCTGCTGTGCCCGACCCAACAACACCCTGCGCTCGCCAGGCCGCGGCACGATGGCAGCACCGGGCTTGCCGTGGCACTGCTCCCTGTGGCCCGAGCGCGGCGTCTTGTTGCGTGGGTCGGTCTGAGTGTGGACAGTGTGTGCGGCCGTAAGGACCGGCAGCTACATTTGAGCCCTGCGCTTGCATTAGCAAGGTTATCTGCAGCGAGCAAGGCAGGCGGGTTCTTACCTTACCTTACCTTACCTCTGCTCGTTTAATGGGGCAACAGCAACAAATGCCACTTCAGTGCTGCTGGAAACACAAGGTCTCAATTTTATTAGATTGATTGGGAGGCGAGAGGTCTCCAGTAGCTTGTGGTGGGGTTTGTAGTTCTGTGGTCCCTGCTAAAGCTGTCGCTGCAGCAGAGCAATGCCAAGTCACCTTCTTTCATTAGTGTCGTGTGCCCTAAAGGCACTGGAAGCCTTATACAGAGGTCTAAGGACAGAAGGTGCCCAAGGAGGCACCAGACTGGTGCTGAGAGGACAGGTACCCAAGACTGTATCATGTGGCTGCTTCCATAGATTTTTTTTTTTTTTTTCAATGAGGTGAAGCAGTATGTGCCTTGAAGTTTGTCCTCTCCCTCTTTATTTTTTATTTATTTATTTTATTTTTTGGTGGTGAGAGGTGATGGTTTTTTAATACTCAAACCCACATCCTAGTGTTCATCAAATTTGTCTGCCTAGCAACATGCGTTTGTGGGCTTTGTGAGATCGGGAGATAATACTGTGTCTCTTCACTTCCCACTCTTCTTGGTCAAGTCTTGACCCTCGCTTCTGAAGTGGGGATTTATAGTGTTTCCACATTCATCATGTGGAAAGTGACTTACATAGCTCCTGACACTGTTTTTATTAAAAAAAAATTATAAACAGATAAATCTGTTTATAAAATCTGTTTTTAAATAAACAGATAAAACAAATTTATAAATCTGTTTTATAAAAAACAGATCTTCCTTTTTGCAGTGGTCAGCACCTATTTTATCCCTTGCTGAAGTTTGACCCTTGTTAAGACTTTTCTGCCTTATTTCCTAAATATTTAATAGTTCACCAATGGCAGCTATAATTACTTTACCCAGAACTATTTTATCAACACACTAAAAGATGATAATTTGGAGTGTGTACTTGTACTAGTTTCAATAACAGGAAGATAAAGTCACTGATATGATTCTTAAATAATGCAAGTTCAACAACTGTGTGGTTTGTCTATTAACGTCTGGTAGAAATGGTCAAAATAAAAGTTGGGTTAGTTTTGCCTTTGCCATGCAGATTTTTTAGTAATCATTCCCTGGCTGATTGCATTCACAGCATGCTAAAAAGCAAAACAAAAAACTAGAAGAATGAGCACCTAGTAAGTAAACTCCCTCAAGTGAGTTAGTTTGGATGGTGATTTCTTATGTCTTGTAATAGGTAAATGAGCTTTTAACAGATCTGTTATGGTTTGCTGACCAAACCGTAAAGTAGAGAGGAAATACTGTTTGGGATGACTACAGTGGAAAATATTTTGAATGTTTAGTTAACTTCCCCTTCATTTCACTAAATTGATTCTAATTAAACTTGAAACATACATATTTGTTTGGACTGAAATACCTCATTTTGCATTTGATTTTTTTGAAGCTTGTTAAGTTTCAAATAAAACATGATTGTATTTTAAAGGCAGGAAGGTCAAGTCAGATCCACGACAGTTTCACTTTTGTTTAAGCTGAAGCCATTTGCTAGTATTTGTGCTGATAAAATAAGTGCTGGTAAGATGCTGTGGTTAATCTAAAACTTCTCTGGAGGGAAAAAATGAAATGTTCTCTTTTTCCACAGACAATCTTGCTGGAAGTTGTCTGTGCTGAGGATACACATCCTATGGTGTCTTATAATCTCTTGAAGGGTGAGTTCAAGAGATGTAAGGAGTTTTGGACTCTTTTTTAGGTAAACTTAGATGTTTAGCAAATTGCAGCAGAGTTGTATAACACGACCAGCAGGTGTAATGCTTTGCATGCAGAGAGCAGAGCTCTAGACATGCTGCTGGGGACTGCAGTTGGACATACTCCACTTACACAGGTCTGCCTGCTCAGGCATCGTCGCTGAGCGGCAATTCAGTGAAACCTCTGTCTTTTTTTTTTAAAGCCTGGGCACTTTCCTTGACTTGAAGCAAGGTCATGGCCCCCACTTAGTTCTGGGCAGGTCTTGCATTGCAGCTCTCCTCTGGTGTGTTTGTTTTGGATAAAGCACCAAGTGTGCAGCCAGTGGCCTCTGAGGGAGCAGCTTGTCCTGCTAATTTCATCCTTCTCTGGGCCAGGCAGTGGGAGCAGAGGCTTGTCCTCAGCCCTTCCTATGCAGGAACTCCTCCACTTCTGCTAAATGTCTTGCAGTAATCTGAGGAGCATGAGGAGTTAGTTGGCAGCTGTGTAAAGGATTCCATGAGTCCAAGTAACCTCTTGGAGTTTGGGGCTGCCTAGTGTTACATAGGAGTTTCTTAACACTTCTGTGACTGCAGTTTAGGTGCCACCCAATGCAAAGAAGCAAGTGACAGTGGGGGAAAAACCCCCTCCTAGAGTCACTGCTCTCCAGGCATCTTGCTGCAGCAGCAGAAAGCAGATGGCTTGCATGCATAAAGAACACAATTTGCTTTCATTTAGTGTTTTGCATGCAGGGATGGTTTTGCAGCAGACAACTTGGAAATACTTGGAGTGAGAAGACTGTTGATTGATCTTGTTTGGTTTTTGTGTCCAGCAGGAGTGAGTCAAGCCTATAAGTCCATCAGACGGTCACAAAGGACATTAAAAACCTTAAGGAATGGAGCTTGCATGATTTTGAAATTAGAATGGAAGTCTGTGAGCGTAAAACATGCCAGGCTTCCACATCTGGTGATGCAGATCATGTCCATAATCTGTTATTTTATCTGCTGCTTCTCAGGACATTTAGTCCTAGCAAGCAGTATTGCATAACTTTGAGGAAAGATTGGATTTTGCCCTTTTAAAGTCTTAATCTCTGTAGATTCAGATCATGTCTTGGGAGTAGGAGAACTAACAGGGCTATCATCTTACAACCTGCCAGCAGAGACATGTTCAGAGGCAGGGGTAGGTGGAATGAGAAGGGTGACGGGGAGAGGACTTTCAGGGAAGGCTGTCCAGTAGGTGCTGCGGGGTCCTGTGTCGCGTGGTTTGAGGTGGTGACTGGTGCATCTGAGCTGTCCTTGAAGGGTCCAGCAACATGGAGAGGGTGCTTTTTTTTTTTTTTTTTTTCTTCAGGGGGGAACTAAATTTAGCCTCATTTGGAACTTGCCAGCCAAGGCAGAAGAAGTGTATGGTATCACTGTGTGTGTGTTTAAATGAACTGAGGAGCTCACACTCACAGGGCTATTTGTGATGCCTGGCTTTGTTGATTGCAATGAAGATGCAGGCTCAATGCATCCAGCTGCTGTGAGCCTGTTACCTGCATTCTGCTGCCCAGCAAGCGCACATCCCCAGTGGCAGCTTCATGGTCTTCCTGTGTAGATGGCCTGACCCCAAGTGCTGTCCTGCTCCAACAGTGACAGCCTTTTGCAGCTGCGGTCACTGAAGACGCTGGCTGTGAATCAGACATGTGCAGAAAATGAGTCTTTTCATGTGCTTAGCCTGAGTGTAGGACACCTGGAAGAGGTGAGGATGGGTGCGAGCTTTGGGGTCACGAGCGCAAGCTCCAGAGGCGGCAGCTCCAAGCAGGACACTGGACCAGCCTTGTGCCTTTGTCGCCAGCTCATAGCGGTGGCTTCAGAGGAAGGCGAAAGAGCTTTGAAAAGGACAGTTAAATTAGCCTGCTTGTAGGAACTGCTTATTTTCCTGCCAGTTTTTCTTGGTTATTGTTGGATAACATAACCTGACCTCAGGGGGCTTGTAGATACTAATGAGTAACTGTGGGTGGTTTGGTTATTCAGGCAAATGTCCAGTCCTTCTCTGAATTCTGCTAAAATCTTAACATACTGTAGCAATTATCTTCATGGAATAATTTTCAGTGTTACAGCTAGCAAGAGCTTTGTTTTTATTTTGAGTTGCTGCTTTTCAGTTTTGTTGGCTGTTCTTTCTGACTTTTGATAGACTAAGTGTGCTTGACTTGCACCCAGTATTAAGGGAGTAAAGAAGTATCCCAGTGTCACCACACATTAGTGTCTTTTAAATGATGATGTCTGAAATCTTGTCCCATGCAGGTGTGGCAGTGAGTGCAGAGATGCAGATATCTCAGTGCAGAGATGGTTCATTTCATCCACATCTTAAAGACCTGTGGGGAACAAAGCCAGTCTTGTAGCTATTCCTTCCCAGTACCTGATCTGGGCTTCAGATTCTCTTCCCAGTTAAAGAATAATGAAAGAAAAATAAAGTTATTTTGTAGGCCACTCACTACCCTGTTACTTAAAAGAAAACAGTTCTGGAAATAGGAAGACCTACCTGAAACAGCTGATGTTTTCCCTTCTTAGCTTTACTTCCAAATGACTTTTGTCATGTTTTTCCCAGCCCAGGGGGGAAAAAAAATATTGCTTTCTTTTCCATGTTTTTTTCTGGATTATTTCAGCAATAATTTGGAAACAGCTTCAAAGCCATCTGATTTGCTGTCTCATCTGTTCTGAGTGAATTGTTTTCATGTTGTATTATGAAAAGAGCCTGTTAAACAATATGGGGCAAATTCTGTTCTTGTTTATAGCACCTTTTACCTCAGGAATCCTTGCGCAGGATTAAAAGGTTACATGCCGTAATAATACCAAGTAATTAACAATATAGCAGGATTAGATTCTTGAAAGTCAAGTCAAAGTTCTCATGTAATAACTTCTGCAAAAAAAAAATTAATTGATGCTTGAGGATATGTGAGTTAGGGGAGGCAGCTGGAAAGCAAAGGTGCTTGGAGTTTGATCTGTTCACTCCTCCTGAGCTGTGCAAGCCTCATTGGAATAGGACAGTTCTTAAAGCAGTGCAAATACTACTGAGAATAGGTGAATTTCTAAAAATCTGTTAAATGTGTGAGCTGCAGTAGGAATAAAAACAAATAGTGGGACAATACAGAGATTGCCAAAATTACATTTTTTGATACTGGTTTTAGTCTATTTTTACTTCCTTTTCATGACTGTGTCCCTGTATTAGCTACACTTATATCTGTAGGAGCACTGTCTGCTTATCTCTCAACTTTTGCTGTGGCTCTAAGAGTACATCACTGATTTCTCTTTATTTTATTGTAGGTTGAACTTCATCTCCATCTGGATGGAGCTATTAGACCAGAAACCATCTTATACTTTGGCAAGTGAGTGGACAGTGGGGGAAAGCTGTGGTTAGCGTGGAATAATTTTTTGCTTTGGTGTCCTAAGCAGGTTCCTGCGCTCCTGAAGTGCGCCTGGATAGAGTGGCTTTCTAGGAAGGAGGCACTCCCTGGGTTTTATCTTGACCAAAGCCTAATTATCAGTGTGGAACACATTGAGGCTAGCAGGTTCTAATTGCTCAGTAAAAAAAAAAACACCCAATTTTCACTTCATGCATGGAACAAGCAGTCATACACGTCCATACCTACTCCCATGCCTTTTCTTTGTTCAGTTTGAGGGTAAAAAGCTTATTTTTACAGGCTAAGACAGCTCTTTCTGCATGTTCTGCAGGCAGCAAATCCAACTGGTGGTAGTTGGGCTCTGTTCTGCCTGTGTGGTGTGAGAGTATCCAGCGCTTTCCAGACTGCAGTGTTGCAGCTGGGCTGAACTGATAGGAGGTGCATGAAAAAGCAGTGTCCCAGCACTGTGGTTATTTCTCAGCAACCTGGGAAGCTAGAGCTAAGAGGAGCCACCTATGACAAAAGAAAAAAGGTGCCATATAAAGAGATAGTTGTCTGCTTTGAATGTGTCACTAGGAAGTGACGCAGTTGGGTTCTAAGTTTTTCATTTCTTTTTCCACATTCCTAATTGTAAAATTGTATGAAGTGAAAACTTCCTGGGAATGTCCTTTCAGTGGTGGTATCATGCCATAATCTATGGAGGAAAAAGGTCGTTCTTTCATCTGCTTGTGTGTGTTTAAACCCCAAACTGCTGCTATTCAGCATGGCATTTTGTTTGATCCTAACAGTCAAAAATCACATTAGTGTGAGTGACCCAGGAAAGCACTCAGCAGTGACTTAAATACAGGTTGCTCCCTTCACCGAGCCCATATTTGCCTTCTTGCTTAAATATGGCTTATGTGTGGGAAGCACCAGGGTAAATGATTAACTGGTGAAGGAACCTGGCTCCACAGCTGGAAACAAACAAAAAACCTCAAGACTTCTTTGAAAAGCTAATGGACACTACTAGATATCCTCAGATCAAGAATATGGTAAGTTTAAAGATTTCAGGAAACAGTTCTTAGGTACTACTTTGGTAACTTTGGGCAAGAAATAATTCTTGAGGAAGAAAGGAAATGGTTATGGGCATCCTGTAAGCCCAGTAGGCTTCAAGACAGTGTGATTCCTAAGGGGAGTAACCTTTCTGAAGGTCTTTCTCCAGTGGGCATCCAGCTATAAACTTTGCAGTGCTCTTGGAATAACTAAGGTAGATCAGAAAAGTGAGTCTCAATTATTGTGGGATGTCCACATGGGAAGCTGAGTAAGGATTTCTCTTGATTTCCTCCTTACCACAGGAGTTTGCAGGCTGAAGTGCAGAGGTAAAAGTCCTGATGGGTTAGTCACTGTTCTGGCTTCCTTGAGGCTCTGCTCAGTCTCTGTTGCCAGCATAGGAAAAGTGCCTGCATGGATCCCAGGAGGGTCTTGGGAGTCCTGAATCTTGGGAGATATCAGCCTTTTGAGCGCCCCACATTTCTTTTGCTTAGAACTGAAACCCTCCTTCTTGAGGGCATGCTATATTTTAGTATATTTTAAAGCCCTCATATCCCCCAGGGCTGCTAAACTGCATAGCATCCCCCAGATCTGCCATTCCCCTTGATGAAGCAACCATGCTCACAGTGTGTGCAGATAAACCTAAATCCAATGGGGCTCTGTAGGAGTCTACCTTAACCTGGATATATGAAGCTGCTTGTGGTCTGTTTTTAAAGGTAAAGAGCTAGAAGCAAGTTTACTAGCTGGTGACTGATCACATACAAGTAAAATGAAGCCATTGGGATGTATAGCCCCCAAGGGCATTGATTTGATGCTGCAGTTTTTAGAAACTTTCACTCAGTCTGGTCTGCGACACAAAACCATTTAGAGCAGCAGTGGGGCAGTTCACAGAGCTGCAGTGGGCTGAACCAACAAGCAGGGTGACATGGGGGGGACAGTAACACCAAAGCCATGGTGCATTTGTCCATCAGAGATTGTTAACAGATCATCCCAAAGGGCTGCAGTTTGACTGCATGGCAGCTGTCCTTTGAGAATCACTTGAAGGAATTCAGGAAAACAGTGTTGCTGACAGGACCCTGGGGGGAAGCTTTCCCTAGGCAGGTGGAGGAAGATGTGGGCCCTGTTTTCAGAAGAGGCAAAGGATGTGTCCCTGGGGTGCAAAGGGCAGGACAGGGAAGAAAGCCAGTGCCCTGGCACTAGCAAACATCTGCTAAGTGCCAGCAACTTAATCTCTGCTGATTGCATGTGAGCGCTGGGCATAAGGCTGATTTCCTTCCAGCCCAACTGTGGGGAAGTGAGTAATGTTCACTTAGCCCAGGAACAGTGTCATTTGGGCTGCTTTGCTGCAGTTTGCTCCTTGGGATGGCTGCTGGTATTGGGAGGCTAAAACCGTCTGTGGCTCTTTGTGTCTCTTAGCAAAGAAATTGTAATTCATCATGGCAGGACTGGAGAGGAGAGAGGATTAGAAACCAATGTCTAGTTGTTATTCCTAATTTATGTTAATATGCAAGAAGAGGATGGCAGGAGGCTAAAGCTTGCCTTGGAAACATGCAGCAACCTCAGCAAACAGCCCTGTCAAGCAGGAGCAGTCCGTGGAGATGCTCTGGCTGCTCACAGGAACACTTTGTCCTCCCAAGCCATGTGCTGCTTGTGGAGTTGGAGCACTGGAGTTTGGGTGGGCTTGAGGAGGCTGCATAAGGAGGAACCACCTCCTTCATGTTTTTTGGCAGTTCTGCTTCTAGGCCTCAGAAGTGCCAAAAAATAATCCAGAGTCTTTTTAGATGAACTCCCTCTAAAGCCATAAAAAAGGCCCCAATAACAAGTGCCAGGCCTGTTCCTGCTGGGTCACGCTGGGCTCACTGCTGCACGATGCGCTCACATGCGAATTGCCTTCCTCCCCACGAGGTCAGGCTGCATCTGCGGGGGAAGGGGGGGTGTTTGGGAAGGACAACTTGTGCTGTGTGGCTTCTGCAAGGAGAGGGCTTAAAGCTGCTGGTTCAGCATACAGCTGCTCCTCACAATAAGCTGATGAGATGTGCGATAACCCTTCCTGACAGTGAAGTGTGACTCATTTTCTAGGAAAAGGGGCATTCCTCTTCCTGGCAGCACTGTCGAGGAGCTCTTGGAGCATGTCAGCTACAAAACACCCCTGACGCTTACCAAGTTCTTGGAGAAATTCAACCTGTACATGCCGGCCATTGCGTGAGTACCTGCACTCACCCTCGCTATCTGGTTGCGGGGATGCCAGGCCTTGCAGTGGCCGTGATGTCACAGGGCCCAGCAGCCCTGGCTCACATGGGTGCTGGGGCCCCTTCCCCATTTCCGCAGGGGGGACCGTGAGGCCATCAGAAGGATTGCCTACGAGCTGGTGGAAACCAAGGCAAAGGAAGGCATTGCCTACGTGGAAGTGAGGTACAGCCCCCACCTCCTGGCCAACTACAAGGTGGAGCCGATTCCCTGGGGCCAGAAGGAGTGAGTAAGGCCAGGGAGCGGCGAGGCTGGGACGAGGAGGCTGAAAGGGGTCGGAGAAATTCCTCATGGGAGAATCTGTGGCTGCACTGCTCACTGGTGGGCAGCAGGGTAACCGAAGGCTTCTCTCTCCTCAACTGCAGCAGGATCCGGTGCTCTTCCACCCCTCATCCCTGCCAATAGTATTTTCTTTTTCTCATAATATTTCTGCCTTGCTTTGGATGCTTAATTCTTGGCTGGAGCCGCCTCCGCACGAGCGAAGCTGGAGTTGGACATGTCGACTCGCTGGCTGAGGCAGCAGTTGGGCGCTGGTGGGACCCAGTGCTGGATCCTTGCTCCTAGCTTTGCGATCTTCCCTGCTTCTGCACATATCTCTGATCAAATCGGTGCCAAGCTGCTCTGCCCCTCATATGCCGTTGCGGGGTAGAGCTGGCCAGCACCCCCCTATGGCCACTGAACCGCAGCCCCTGGGCAGTCTCCAGGTTGCAGCCGAGAGCTGCGCCAGGCCTGTTTGGCAAAGACACCTCGGGCTGCCGATGGGCCTGAGCAGCCGGGGGATCTCCTTGCCTGGGGCTCCCCTCCATCTCAGGAGGCATCTCTGCATGTTTTTCACCTGCCAGCTCACAGCTCCGGGCATGGAGCTGTGTGCGAGGCACTTCTTGGCGATGCACATGGGAGCCCGTGGCCATCCAGGCTCTGCAGCAGCCTCCCGTGTGCCTTGCTGGCAGCAATGTGGGGCTTGGCGTGGAGTGGCCTTCAGGTGCTGCATGTGCCCTGGTGGGTCTCCAGCACTGTGTCCTCCTGGTCTGCTACTGACTCCTTTCTTTTTCTCTCCTACTGCAGGGGAGACCTGACTCCGGATGAAGTTGTTAGCCTTGTTAATCAGGGACTGCAGGATGGAGAAAGGGATTTCCGCATCAAAGTCAGGTCTATTCTATGCTGCATGCGCCATATGCCAAGTAATGTATTGCAGCCCATCTGCTGCTCTGCTCCCCTTTTCCTGACTTGTTGGGTGTGTGTGAAGTTCCATGGGTTCAGGTCCCCGCAGAAATGCTGGACAGCACCAGTCACATGGCTCTGGTTTCCCCATGGGGCCAGTGCTGCGGGCAAGTGGTGGGTGTTCCTCTTTGTACAGGGGAGATGGGGCTGGGAACAAAGACACTTTTCTTAAATCAGGGGCTTGAAGCTCTCTGAGGAAACTGCTGTGATTCTATGAAATGGGCAGCTGGTTGTGAAAGAGGAGAACTGTTGACGCAACCAGGATCTGAAAAGCTAGCTAAAGAAACTAGAAGAGCTCTCCTTTCCTCTGCCCTGGGAAGTGTACTTTGAGTACATCTGAGATGTACCTCGCTCCCTGCCCAAGGGCTGAGGATTTCCTCAAGGCACTTGAAGCTACTTTAAAAGGGGAGGGCAGATTTTCTGGGCTGACAGCAGCAGCTGCTGGGGGATGTTCTCTGGATCTTCAGAGCACCCAGGACATTGTGTGGGGCAAGGGCACAAAAATAAACAGTCACAGGAGGAGGAACAAGGATGAAATCTAGCACTTCCTATGCGGTCAGGGAGATGAAACCTTCGCAGCTGGATATCGCATGACTACAATAGTATTCTCCTTAGCTGGTCTTTTTGTGGGTTAGCCAAAAGAATTGCGGGTAGTGAACTCTGCTGATTCCAGCTCCAAACACATGAAAAACTTAGCTACATTTTAAGTATGTTTGACAAAATCAAACACTGCACATGCAGCGTGCACTTGCACAGCAGTAGGAATTGCTCTTGTAATCTCCTGAAAATGTGGTCCCAGGGCAGAAACTTACCTGGAGTTAGGGATGTGCTTGACCGAAGAGTCTTTAGCGTCAGACTTTGGGATTTGCTGCACAGTGAGAAGGCCCCCTTTAATTTATGAAATGTTAACAGAAGGGCAGAGATGCCAGTCAGAACTGGTGAGTATTAAATTTGTCAATAAAATAATGGCATATTATGCCCTCATAACTTGACAAGTATGAAACTGAGGGAACAAAAAGGTGAAGTTGTTTGCATTTTTTATGATTCAGTCATATTAACGTATGTGCACAACAGGTGTACAGTGTTAATAATTAACACTAGAGTTTATCTCTGTTTCTTGGCCTTTGCTAAGGGTAAGTGCTGTGTCAGCTAATTGATCTCCAAGAAAGGAGATGGCATCTTACTCTATCCTGATCAGAGGTAACTCTGAAGTAGCTGTTTGGCAGTTATTACTCTTGTTCTCACTGAAGCCATAAAGCTATAAAACACTGTCAGCATTAAAGGTCACGCTTCCAGGTGGCTAAACAGCTCATTTCTGTCAGACAGCATCTACCATCTAGGTGGGGAAAGTCTAGCATGTTTTGCAAGGGACTAATGATGCTTGTATAGAGGGCCTCTGGGGATCATTTCCAACCCAAATCATTCAGCAATACAATCCTTTTGACATACTAGTTCTTCCCTTTCCCCTCACCTTGCTTGTGTCTGTGTCAGAGCTCCTAAATGATTTGAGACTCCTCCTACACAGCATTTTATGGCACTTATTCTAAAGAGTGGTCTCTGTCCAGTTCAGCTTACCTTGGGCTAGCTACAGCAGTTGGCCACCCACTTTTTCTCTTTTTGGGATGGTGATGAGAGCAGTTTTATGCCTGGGAAAAGTAGAACTTTCTTCTGTTTTGATTGTTAGTAGACTGGTCAGTGTGCAGCTTTTATTTGTTTGAATATGGCAAATCTTTCTAGGATTTTGTTAACTTTTTTGAGTGTCCAATCACAGAAAACACCAAAGAAAACAGCTCTCACATTCTAGTCGTATGTCCAAAATTTGTTTAGCAACCTACTTGGGACATGACTCTTGTCAATGCTTCCTCCTGAATCTTGATGCTGTCTCTTCCAGGCTGGTCTCCAGAGGTGGTGGAGCTCTGTAAGAAGTATCAAAACAACTCTGTGGTAGCCATAGACCTGGCAGGGGATGAGTGCCTGAAGGTGGACTCTTCTGAGCATAGGAAGGCTTATGAGGTTTGTCAAATAGGTTTCTTCAAATAAATTATAACACCGAGTTCTTCCTGGTGAGGGGGCATGCTGCACTTTATTCAGACTCCAAACAGCTGATAGAGCTTAAGTCCTTGAGCTTACTAAAAGCATTCTACTAAAGAGCAGTATTAGTCTGTGTAATTCTAAATGATTAATAGTGGATGTCCTTACTTAAGCAGGTTGTTAGAGCTTGGGTTAGGAGTGCTATCCCAAAGGGATGCTGGGTGCAGAGCTTGCATTCCTCTGCAGAGGTCCCTCTGTCTCCTGTTAGATGGGGTCTGCTTGTGGTGCTCTATTAAACTGCAGCTAAATGTGGAGCAGATTAGTCTTTCTAGTCTTCAACTGATGGAAAGCACCTGAATAATGTAGAGCAAGTGAAATGTTTGCAGTTCTGTGCTGTGCACACAGCTGTGCTCTGTTATACAAGATGAACTGAGCAGTTCTCATGCTCAGCATCTTAACTGCCTATCTTGTATCTTAGCATGGGATATATTAACAGGGTTTTATTAATTGATTGGCAGGATATTTCGTGTCCCATCTGTGCCTGTGGTACTGCAGCTCAGACTTCCCTGTCTTAAGGATGTTGCTACATCAGTGACTCATCAGGGCTCTTAGGTACTGAAGGAAACTCTTTTCCAGGGCATCAGCCCCTCTTGGCCTACATGAGTGGAATGTATCCCTGAAAATCCTGCTGTGCTGCTCTGTGATATGTAATAGATCTGAGGGAAATGGAGAGACTTGTGATGACATGATCAGATGTCTCCCTTGGGCTAAAGTTCCTGGGATGGTCATGTTCTCCCTGGGAGCTTTTGGAGACTGCTGCAAGGGGGGAAATAAGAGATAACAGTGACAACAGACAAGTGACTCACTTGACTGTGAGTGCTAGCTGCAGAGGAAGACTGGAAGTGCTGGCTTAGGAAAAACTTGCTGCTAAGTGTTTAGACATCTGTCCTGGGAAAGGGAAGGCAAGTCCCTCTGGAGAGGATGTGTCTACAGCTGGCTATTAAACATGAGCTCCCTCTTGGATGCAGTCAATGGGGGACAGCTCAGGGAGTCCAATTTCCAGAAGGCAGGAGGGTAAGTGGTGGAGGATCACACTCCACGTGTTCTTCCCAATCCCTTTCCTTGCATCTCTGCTTCTGACTCCTGCTGGGATATTTAGGGGTGGCTGTCTTAGGAGTAGGCAAAGGAAAGATTCTTGGAAACAAACAGAAAATCTCAGTGTTGGTGTGAGTCTCATCTCTAATCCTTGTCTAGTGCTTTGGCCAAAGGGATTTTTTTTCTTCAAAAGAAGAGACAAAATATCAGCTGCTGGGGAAATGTTAAGCCTGCCTGGAACACAAGGAGGATAGGCTGCCTTGTGGACAGGTGGGTGCAGGGCTTGTCTGGGGGTACCTTGGCAGAGCCTGGCCTCACCACTGCTGGGCCTGGGCAGGCAGCAGGGGAGGAGCTGAGAACTCTTTTGTAACTCAATAAATAAATAAAAAGCCATGAAGGGAAGCTTGTCTGATGCAAGCTGGGGCTTGTAGCCTGCTCATAGCGGCTGGCTGCATGACCCTTTTACAGTAAAGCAAGTGCCAGGCTTCCCCGGAGGCCAGGCAGGAGGGAGCTCCGCTTCCCAAGGCCCCGGAGGTCCCTGGAGAGGCTGCAGAGGGAGCATCCCTGGGGGTTTTTTCAGGATATCCCTGGAGACTGGCCTGTAATGTGCCAAATGCTGCTCACCTTCCCAAAGTCTGCAGAACCTTCCCAGCCTTGGTGCTGGCTGCAGTGGCTTGTCCCCAGCCCCTCGCAGAAATGAGGCATATGGACTCTGGCTGTTGCTTTCCTTCTACCCTGGTAGCTTTTAAATTCTTGTCAGACTTGGCTGCAGTTGGCCAAAAGAGTAGAAGAGAAGAGGTGAAGACAAAAATTTCTGCAAGTTTCACTTATTAAAGCAAGTGGGCAGAGGAAGGAGAGCTTTAAAGTTTGTCCTCTCTGGAGAGGACATAGTGATGAGCTCAGTGTTTATTAAAAGACCCTGGAGAAGTTGGCTGGGCTCCATGTGGAAGGTAACCAGGCTTTCTAAGTCTCTCTGCTTGTGGTGTTAACCAGTCTCTCCTCTTTTAGCCTGTGCTACAGCACAGCCTGAGAGAATGCAAATCTTGCAGGGTGTGGAGTGTGCAGTTTGGGAGCTCCTAGCCCAGACTTGTTGATCTCCCTTGCTATGTTACTGGGGCGCTAGGCAGTGGAAAAGGTATCTGCTGAAAGCAGTTGGCTGACCTTGCTCTGTGTGACTGGACAGCAGTGTTTCCTGCCTTGCTTTTCAGGAAGCTGAAAGATGCGGCATTCACAGAACTGTCCATGCTGGGGAGGCTGGACCACCTGCTATGATCAAGGAGGTGAGAGGAGATTCTGGCCCAGGGCCGAGCAGGGGTCAGCAGGGTGGTGGGGTGTCTTTGTAAGATGAGCAGGAGGGTTGGGAAGAGGCCCTTAGTACAATTTTGTAGAGGGAGAAGTTCTTTGTGTATTCATAAGGGAGCAAAAATGTGGGACCCAGCAATTGCTAGAGCAATCTAGCTCCAAGTTTTCAGAAAAGGATCTCCTGGGGTGTATTTTAGACATACAGGCTGCAGTCCTGGTGGGCTGGTGGGGCAGGGAGCTCTCATGTCACATGGGAGCTTGGCCTGAACTCAGAGCTGTGTTTCTCTGTGCTCTGTAGGCAGTCGACCTCCTGAAGGCTGAGCGCATTGGCCATGGCTACCATGTCCTGGAAGACCCTGAACTTTATAAGGAGCTGTTGAGAAGAAAGATGCATTTTGAGGTAAGGCCGATGTCTCAGAATGGAAAATTGGCCCTTGTGCAGTCTGTGCTTCAGCCCAACATCCTGAGTAGAGGCTGCTACGTGATACTCAAGTGCTGAATGATCTAGGCAGCACTGTTGAACCAAGATTCCCAAAGCTGCATAGCAGAAGTACGGTGACACCTGGTGACATTGGGATCTTTATTGTGTGAAGCCCTGGAGCTCACATCAGTTTGCAAGAATTGTGGAGCACAGAGAAATGTTCCTGTTCATGGTTTTTGTTTTTAGTTTTAGGATTCTTTTTCCTCTCCCTTTTTTCAGTGTTTTCTTGGTTGTGTTCCACAGACTACCAGTGGTTGGCAGCAATGGGAAATGTCCCCTCAGCCGTTGCCCGCTCACTGTAGCAGTGGCAGTAGATTTCTCGATCTGCGATTTGGAATGCACATGGTCCTGCCAACTCAGGGGCTGAGGGCAGGCAGTGAACATAGGTGTTGTGACCCTTTATCTGTCTTTATCAGTGTTCTTAGCTATCTGCATATCCAGCAGTATTTCAGATCTGCATAGCTAATTCTGTGTTTTTTTAAACTCCCACAAACAGGTCTGCCCTTGGTCCAGTTATCTTACTGGAGCTTGTCTTCCGGACTTTAGGAAACACCCAGTAACACAGTAAGGCCTTTAAATAGTGTATAATATTAAAGTAACCAATCCAAATCCTAGTTGTTTATAGCTGCTTCGTTACTTTGCAAGGGAAATACTATATTCCTGTAAGTAGTTAGATTTGTATGTCCTTGTTCTTCCTCACCAAGGAATCTGGTGTAGCTGGAGTAAGTGTGAAGCCCTCTCATATGAGGCCTTCCTGTCTGCTCCAGCCCTTCTTGGGGCTGCTGAGCATCTAGAGCTTCAGCTGCTTCACATGGGGCATTAGCTTGAGTTTCAGCATGAGAGCTGAGCTGAGCATCCAAGCAACAGACCTTGCTGATGCCCTACTCCTTGCTCTGCTGAAGTACAGATCAGTGAAAAGCAGTGGTGAAAAGCTAAGCAACATGTGTGTGTCCAGCAATGTTAACTACATGGACAACCAGATATTTTTTGGTTTTGTTTTTTTAATTTTACTGTGTTTTTATCCTGAGAAGTATGCAAACATTGCCACATCCATGAATGAACATTTACCCCATTCTAAACTCTGTTTTCTTACAGATTTAGGAAGGATCAAGCTAACTATTCCATAAACACTGATGATCCCCTCATCTTTAACTCCACTATTGACAAGGATTATGGCATAGTAAAGGAGTACATGGGCTTTACTGAAGAGGAGTTCAGGAGAGTGGTAGGTTGGCTTCAGCTGGATGCTCTGCATTATGTCCCATTGCAGCCCAGAGTGATTGTCTGTATTTATATTTTTGTAAACTTGAGGAGTTTTCACTGGAAATAAAAATCCTGCATTTTCCCTGTAAGCACTAGACACTGGATGGGAGACACCAAGAGCACTGTGGATGCTCTGAGACGGCTAGCGAGATGGCTAGTGTAAGTACAGAAAGCAGGAGGGGTCTGAAGACTCCTTTGTGCGGCTGGGCTCCAAATGTTACACATGTTCTGGCCAACTGCTTTGGTCTTTACTGAGGATGGGTTAGAGTAGAAAGTGCCTGCTGCAGTCCTTCAGACAGATCTGAGCAGTTGGGAAGGAAGGAGTGTGTTTGGTTTTTTTATTATTATTATTTTTATTTTTACCCTTCCCCTGGATTTGGATTTGCAGGTAGGCAGGTGAAGACCTCCTGAGAAATTGGTCAAGATTCAGCATGTACAGAAGCACTTGTGCTTTTTGCATGTATAACACGAGTATGCAATAATCATGGTATGACCTGGCATACAACTGAACTGAACACAGTGACACAGTTGGCTTTGATCTTGGCATATGCAGTCATTTATGATCTCAACACATCCTAAAAACTGTCCCTAATCAGTTACCTAAATCAAGCTCCCAACACTTATCCTGTCCTACAGTCTGGGTACTAAGTAAAGCCTTCCTGGTTAGCATGAGATCCATGCTGATTTGATAGCTTTTACTTATGTACTTATGTGTCTTATAGACAGATCTGTGAACTTAGCTACTGTTTGGGAATCTTTGCCTGGAATTGGAAATTCAGGATGTGCTTTACAAGAGAACATTAGTGCTGCTCTGTCCTCTGGCCGGAGGAACAACAGGGTCCTCTTCTCCCATAGACTGACTTATCCTCTGGGTCTGGGAGGAAGAACAGGGGACAGCTCTGAACTTTGCCACCCTGAGTCCAGCTGCTTTGCTTCCAGCTCTCCTTTTCTGTTCTTGCAGAAGCCAGGCTATTCCTGTATAATAAAAGAAATCTCCCTGCATGAGACAAGCATGTTAAACTGTGTAGTGAGGCAGCTTTGTCACTGCAGCAGCATATCAGCCTGCTGCCAGACCAAATACTGTGAAAAGTCTCTTATCCAAGGGGAAGTCTGGAGCATAGGAATGGCTCTAAAGTGCATATTCTTAAAAACTCTGAAACCTTTAGAAATATCTTTGTGTCTGTCTCCTTCCACTTAGGGTTTTTGCTAGTGGTGGGCCAGAACAGCTGTAAAATGAAGCCATGGAAATGTATCTAGGAATGGAGAATATTATGCTCTCCCTCTTGTTAATGCTTAGAGACAGATGTTTGGATCTGTACAATCACATTCATATCTGCTGTGTCTAAATGTCTCCTTTCTGTTCCTCTTCTGCCTCCCCAGAACATCAATGCAGCCCGGTCCAGCTTCTTACCTGAGCAAGAAAAGCAGGAGCTTCTCAATACCCTCTATGAAGCCTATGGGATGGTGCCCAGTGCATCTTGATGCAGCTCTACCAGGCAGCACAGAGCAAAGACCCTTCTTGGTTGACTCCTCTCTGCCCTGGTGGGAGCACCAGGGGAAGGTGCCCAGAGTTGGTCTCTTATTGGTTCCCCTGTATTAACTTTTGTAGCAGAACTGGGCCACCATGATCTATTCCATATATCACTCCCTACATATCATCTTTCAGATGGATATCCAGTTCCCCATTTTGCTATTGTACAAGTAGACTACAGCTCCTTCTTGGCCTGACTTCCCTTCATATGCCAATTTATCTGTAGAGTAAGTGAGAACAGAAGAGCATTCTCTGCTTTTTTTCTTATGTTCCCCCCCTGCTTTAACTTAACCCACTCACCTGCCTTAGACCTTGTGACTGTGGCCAGAGTTAACCCTCACCTATCTAGGGAAAAGGTGAGTTAACTCTGAAAAGGAGTAAGCAGGAGCTCAGAAAAAAGAGGTTTAATCCCAGTTGTGCAGATAAGAAAGTTTGGCCACCACTGTATTTACCTAACAAGACTAGATCGAGAACAAGCTAGAAGCTGGCACACTTACTGATACACAGGTCTGAAGGGCATTTAAAAATACCTTTTTTGGCATTCTTTCTTGAATATGGAACTCTGTGTATCAGGCCTTACAATGTCACTGCCACAAAAGCACAAACCTTGGGCCTAGGGCTCCAGGTGGGTTAACAGCAGCCCATGAACATGCTCACCCATGCATACTTATACATACTTAATTTGGGGCCCAAACCTGCATTCTGGGGCTTCCCCCAGTTCTGTACTCAGCCTGGAGAATTCCTGTGAGCTGCTTTCTGCATCTTTGTTTGGGACACTGCTTTCTGTTCTTTCTGTGTCTTTGTTTAGGACTTGCAAACAGATTGATGCCTGTTTATCCATGCTGTCCTCTTCCTGACTTGAGATAATCTTTAGGAATCATTAAAACTAAATCAGTAAACTAATGAGCTATGGCCCAATATCAAACACTGACTCAGGTCTTGCCTCATTTGCCTCTCTCACAACCAGGATGCTGACCAGAAGTCAGATCTTAAGTTTGGTGAAGAATTCATCAGGAAACACCAAAACTCCTAAGTGATTTTGGTGCATTATATTTGGTGCTCTCACTCAATATGCAATAGAGCCATGCCACCATAGAAGGCTGTAACTTTTCCACTGTCAAAGGCCTCCCGAACATGTTTGAGGAGGTGATGTAGGAGTGTGATGTGCTTTAATATCCCAGGTGTCTGCAAAGATGTGTACTCCAAAGACACTGTACCAAACGTTGCCTTTGACAAAGGGCTGTGGTCATCAGTACTGCAGAGAGTGTCCAAGATTGACTGCTCCGGTCTAGACCAGCAGCCATCTATTGCTGGGAATCTTTCCATTGTTTTGGGGCTTCCATATTTGTCTTTTAAGTGAGTGAAATGCTTATCTCTGAAATGCATGGTGGATATATGCACCTATATGTATATATAGATATGAGAGAGTGAGTTTGTTGCTTTTATAGAGCAAATGATGTCATGACTTTTAAGAATGTGGTTACTTAGACCCATGATTTTTGCATAATCTTTCTCCAAAAGTTGTTTTTGAAGAACAGTTGTTTGGTTGGATTTTAGACAGTTGATTGATAATTCTGTTTAATAAAAGAACAAATTTATATTAAAATAGAAATCTTGCCTTTCTATTCAAGGGTGTGGCCTATTGTACTGCTGGTATGGTAGGAGAGTAATGGGCAGGTGTGATGTAGTGTTTTGAGAGCCCAATTCCTTTGCCTTTTTCCAAACCATAACATTTTGAAAGTTATTGCTGGGTGAGCAAGGGGGAAGATGCCTACACTCCTTTGCTGCACTTGCGGGAGGTGGTTTCTGAAAGGCTTTTCAAAACTTAGTGCATGGTTAGCTTGGGGAGGTCCTGAATGCTGTATTTTGCTTTGCAATCCAAGGCTCAGAGCATCTGTGTGGTCAGCAGCTCTGCGAGTCAGGATGTTACTGGATGATTCTGACACCCTTGGTGTCTCAGCACAATTGGGGGTGGCAGCTGACTTGGCTGTTTTGCAGGGGAAACCTCATGCCTCTTGCCTCTCCTCTGAGACTACCCAGCAAAGAGGTCGCTGGTGTCCTGGCTAAATATAATTTTGGAGCAAAAGTATTTTGACCAGAGAGGCCTAAGATTAGCCTGTGTTTGAGCACTTGGGTCTGATGCAGTCCCTCTGCACTGTGCTTCAGCTTCCTTTTTGCATGTGAGCCCAAACTACTGCTGAGCGGAGGTGCAGAGAGCTGGAAGGGGGGCCAGAAAACACAACTGTGCAATCAGACAAGAGCAGGAAGTACCTGCCCTTTTGTACTGAGTGTGCGGAAATGGGAACAGCCTTTTGGATGTTGTTTGGGAATGGAACGGCAATAGTATTCAGCAGCTTGAGGAATTGATTTTGTAGTTGCCAAAAAGCAGATGTAGCTTTTAGCTGGCTGCCAAATTCTCGTTTCCTCTGGGGGATAGAGCTATATACATCTCTGTCCTGCAGCCATCACTTCTCAGAGGCAGACAGACAATTCTCCCTGTCTGGCAGCAACTTCTCTGCTTATTTATGGCCTTGTTTTTTGATAAGTCTCAAACTTGTAACATTCTGTTCTTTGCCTGTCAAAGAGATGCTTGTCCTTGTGTCGCTGTTGGAGAATATTTTTCAGGCCAACTCTGTCTGGCCCCTGCCTCAGTTTGTCCAATTGCTTTGGTGGTAGATCCCAGCTGGGCCGTAATGATCCTTCAAAGCTCTGGCTGAACTGTTTGGGGCTAGGACTTGTGCTGTAGAGCGCAAGCTCTACATCTCTGGATTGAGAAGACACCTCTTCCCACCAGGACTGTTTTCACCAGGCTGCCCTGCCAAGCCCTAAGCTGGCTTTACTATGCTTGACCTAAAGAATAGTAATGTGTAGGAGCAGCTCTGAAATGCAAATGAAACACCCATGAGAAAAGAGCTGCCTTGCAGCAAACCTGGGCAACGTTGAGGCTGACTTTCAGCATCCTCAGTGCTTGGTGTTAGATCTGCTTCCAATGGGATGCTGCAGACATCAGGAGTTTCATAGACCCAGACAGGAGGGACTCTTCTATCCCAGCTCCCTACCTGCCTTTAGCATAAGCTGGTGTAACCTCCCTGCAGCTCAACCTGCTATAAGAGATCCAGCCAGAAAAACACTTTCAACTTCAATACTTGAAGGCTGTGTTATTTATTCCAACAGCATATATAGTTTTATCAAACCATCTTTAACACAAAACATCTCCTAAAAGAAAATGGGGTGATATCTTTCCATAGATAAAACACTTCTCAGCTAGCAGCTTGCATGGATGGTAAGCCTCCATTGCAACAGTCAAAACAGCAAAATTTTTCTCTCCTCCTCTAACAATATCTTAAAATGCTAAAACTCAAAGAAAAAGATGCCTGTGGCTGATGTTGCTGGGTCTGTAGGTGGAGCCTGTCCCCACATCTGTGCTTTGGTCCTTTTCTGATTGCTAAGTGGCAGCAACACAGGTGAGTGGTGCTTGACATGAACACAGGCCAGGTCCCTTCCCCACAGCCCACTGTGGCTACACGGACGGTCCAGCGGCCAGTTCAGATCTAAGATGCAAAAAAGGGCGATGCTTATAAAAACCCCAAATCTAAGATTCTAATCTACAGAAAAAAAGAATAAATAATATCTATGAAATAAGAAGGTACCTTGAACAGGAAAGTGTGTTATATTATTACTAAAATTGTGCTTTCCTACAGAGGAAAATTGCAGCTAAGGCATCTTGAGAATGGTTCATATCACTACAACCACTGCAGTGTTCTAAGTTGTTAGGGATAGGAGCAGAAGTCTCTTGGAGGTACCAGTCCTTGCGCAGCATCCTGCAGCCCTCTGAACCAAATAGTTGCAGCAGAGGCCTTTGACAGAATATGTTCTTCCATGTTGGCTTTCTTCTGCTTTCTTCTGCAGATTCAATAGTAAATTCTTGCTTAAGGTTTAGGGTGTGTCCCTCCTCCTGCCCCATCCCACCCCTGCACGCTGTCATGGGGAGGGACTGTTGTCTTGTCCCTTTGGTCTTGCTCCAGGGTCCTTCTCAGGAGAAGAGGCATCTGCTTGGCTTTCTACAGAAGGGAGGACTGGGGAGAAAACACAATCAATCACTTCTGTCCTCAGCAGAATGTAATAATCACTACAGGCGGTTTTACTCAGATCATCAGCTGAAGGGCTTCCTCTGACCAGATATTTGGCCTAAGACTATCAGCCTCTCCCTTCATGGCCCCAGAGTACAAAAACTTCTCAAACAGCATAGCTACTGATGTTGGGAGGGAGCACTGGAAGTGTAACGGAGCTGCAAGAATTTTAAATGACTGCAAGGTGTATAGATACAGGAGTTCTACAACACCAATCCTTTTCTAAGCTGGGGTGTTTTCTCCTTGTCTAAACTATAACTGCAGCTTGTAAGGGCTCCAGAAATGTCTTTAAGACATTGTGGTGATTAGCCTAATTGCTCTGCTGGAAGAGCTCTCATTTGTGTTTGGCTCTATTATGGATATTAAAGGGGTTCAACTGGGGTAAAATGTTTCAAAACATTATTATTGTTATTGTAACTTAGAGAGGAAAAAGCAAGAGCTAAAATGACTTTACTCTCTGCTGTGTGTTTTGGCTCTTGTTACTGGAAACAGACTAGATGATTTCCCTATGTTTTGAGCAGGGGGCGGTTTATACTTCCTGACCAGTCAGCTGGTTAGCAGTTATTGAGTGAGATGACATTGCTGCTGTGTTAGAGCTACAGGGAAAGATTTGGAGATGGTTGACTGGTGTTCAAAATTATTGTTGTTTAAAAGCGTGGAACTATTAGCCTTAATAGTACATTAAGGCTACTTTTCAAAAAACAAAGGAAAACATACCTGCCCAAGAAAGTCTAGGGTCTGATGTGTAATTTGCCCTGGAGTTACTGTTGGTCAGTGTTGCCCTGTTTAACAGCAGTGCCTCTGCAAACCCAGCTGGTAAAGGGGGTGCCTGGAGCATGCAGTGCTCATGGGCTTGGGAGCCCAGGGCCTATCATGTTCCTTGCAAGGGGCTCTAGGTCTGGGAGAATCACAGACTGGCCCAGAATCAGCTCAGCAAGAAGCAGAGATTAGATCCCAACAGCTTGTGCCTTGCCCCCAGGCTTAGCTCCAGGAGCTACGTTTGCTGGTGCCTGTGGCAGCTCACCTGCTCCCTCGATGGAAAGGTCACTTATGTCCCCTGTCAGCTTGCGCATGCTGAGAGCAGTCGCATCGCCTTGGATATCGTGGACAGCGTTCCTCCGACCAGCCCGATCGCAGGAGATGAAGTCGGTGTATGTGGTGGACTCTACCTCCATTACTGGTCTTGCATTTCTGTATGCCTGCAAATCCCTGGGGAGTAAACACAGTTCTGAGGTCAAGGATGCTCGGCGAGCCTCAAAGCATGGCTCTGTGCAGGTTAGATTACTTTAGGGAGTTAAATTACAGCATGAAAAAATAGTGGCTGTAATTCTGCTCTGCCTCCTAGAACAGCGGCTACCAAAATCTCAGATAACAACTCAGTCACATGGGGAGTCATGTTGGGTGACCCACACAGTGCCAGGTGAGAGTAGGTAGGGAGGAAAGGGCAGTCTCAGCAGCGTTTTTGGCTCGTATTCTGCCTTCCCCATTCACAGCAAGGCACACAAGGCAGTTTTCAGCCTTTTCTTTTACCAGGACACAGCAGCAGCCAGGGCCTTTTCTATGGAAAACGCACTTGCTTGGCTGCCACCAGCTTTGTCCTTGCAGGGAAGGAGTGGAGATGGAGTAGATGAGACACGAGCCTGGGGGCTGCTGTTCGTTGCGCCTGTCCTCGCTGCAGCCCCTCACTGGCAGGTCAGCCCTTCCCTGCACGTCGCTTCTCTCTCCTCGTGGCCCGGGTTAACGGTGGAGCACTCGCCCCACCCGGAGTCGCTTTTGGACAGATGAGCAGGGACGGCAGCAACAGTGAAACCCCTGGGACATGGCGTGCTGAGGCGGGAGGCTTCCCTGGCACAGAGGCTCTCCTGCATGTGAAGCTCTGCATCCCGGTTTGATGTCATCATGGCCCCAAGCCCTCCTCCTTCCTCAGCGTGCCCAGGAGCTGTGGATGGTGGCCAGTTTGGCCCCTCTGTCCTGGGGCTGGGATGCTTGAAGCAGCCTGAATTTGTAAGCAGAAACGGTGGAGGGCCCCAAGCAGATACACGTGTGAAAGCCCCAGGAGGCGGGTGAATATTCCACTGTTCCCAGACTTGGGATCAGTACTGACCTCAGCTGGTGTATCTGTTAGATGCATGTGCCTAAATGAAAAAGGGGCCCACTGAACTGCTTTGGGATGAGTACAACCATGTGGAAAACAAACCTCCTGTGAGAGCTGATTCCCTTCACCCCAAGCTTCCTTCTGTGCCAAGGACAAAGAAAGGGTTAGAATGGCCACCCATAGCGTCAGGAGTAATGCTGCGAGCCTGCTCCTGTTCCAGCCCCATTGGTATTTATGTTGCCGGGTTTCATTTTAGCTGCTGGTTTAACTTGCCAGCATTTGTACAGGACAGACCGTCCAGGGATCTGAGCAGCTCTGGGAACATATCACAAGCATCTTGGCTCCCAGGCGCAGAGCTAATTATCACATGCTGCCTTTGCATAGGGGATGTGGTGCTCTTGGTTCCTTCCCATGTTTGCAAGGCATTTAGTTTGTTTATTTGTATGGAAGCTGTCGAATAATAGTTTTCTTATCTCTGGTTTTCCCCACTGTAAAGAATATCCTTAACCACTGTAATTCACTGGTGCTGTGAGGACTTGGAGGAGGTTCTGAGGAGAAACATGCTGCGGTCCAAAGAAAAAAAGAAAAAAAAAATCAACTTTTAGCCATTCAGGGCTCTTACATCTTGGGGTTAATATCCCACTAGAGGCTGAGAAATTTAACTCCTCTACAAGTGTTGTGTGTTTTTGTTCCTCTAACATAGGAAATCTGCTGTATTCACACTGCTCCTTGCTGGGAGTTAGAAACAAAAAATGAGACGGTCGCTGAGACTGGGCCTGCCCTTGCTGCTGTCCCTCACGCAGGGACGGCCGCGCTGGCTCTGCCCAGCTCTGTCCCTGGGGAGCAGGCGGGGGCTGCATGCGCCTCAGCCTCGGGAGCAGTTTCTGCTGGGAACTCGCAGGCACAGGAGCCCTCGCCGTGCATGTGCCAGCCCACGGCCAGGCCCTGCTGTCAAACACGGGGCCTGAAAACCGCAAACCTGGCGCGACGCTCCTGATGGCTGAGACGCTAAAGGAACAGGGCTAAAAACTGGCTGCTCTTAACAGAGCTCTCACCTTCAGCTTTGCATGGACATCTTTCCCTCTGCCCTGCTCCTGCCCGTGGGAAAAGCCACACCATGGGCATGGGGGAGCTCTCTCAGGGGGGTGCACAGCACGGTGCCTGCGTGTCACCATCCCTTGGCTTAGTGTCGTAAGTCCTGAATTCCTCCCTGAAGTTGGAGTGGTCCCATATGACAACC